TAAATTTTTTTTTTAATCAGCTAACAGAAAGCAAGTGCCCCTGGGGATTGGGAAATAGGGGGTGGGAGAGAGCAAGTGCTATTTTCGTTACCAGCCTTCTAGGATGATTGGAATTTTTAAACTGTGTACATGTATAGCTTTCATAAAAATCAGAACTATGTTTAAAACTTCCACAAAGAAATAACTAAAAGTGGCTGTATTCTTTAAGTAGCCTTATTATGTAAATTCATTAACATTTTTATTGATAATTTCTTACTGTCTTCTTTTGCTTTTCTGTTTCTCTTTCATATGCACACATTCCTCAAATTTAATTGCATATAAAGACCTATCCATTTTTTCCAGCAATTTCTGCCCACTGTACTCCCCTGCCCCTTGCTTACTTCAAATATTCTTCTTCTCCCCTCTGTAGTATAACCAGGAACTTTAGCTGGCCCCCTGCATCCTGTCCCTCTTCCTCCCTCCCACTGGTCACCCTGTGCTGGCATTAATCTTCCTTAAAACCAAATCTGATCACATTACTTACAGTCTTTCAGCAGAGGTAGCAGATACAGAGTGAAATCTAAACTCCATCCCCTATGGATAAGCAGGCCCCCCACCTGCTTGCATGTCTCCATTTCTCCTCAGCATTCCTGCCACAGGGTTACTTCCACTTGTTGCCTGGCACTCACTGACCTTGCAGCTTTCCACTCGAGCAGTTGTCACAGCCCTTTGTATGCGCCACTGTTACCAGCTCTGTCCTGTGCTGCAGTTAGTCTGTTGCTGTTCTTCAACTGCGATATGAAAAGAAAGCTAAGATTGTCTTTTTTCTTGTCATATCAGTATATGGAACAAAATAGGTATTTAATACATGCTAGTTAGCTGAGTGAATACAAGAAAGAGATATTGTCAACACTTCTTAAATATCTTCTGTACCTCAGCCCTTTCTACTGACAGATCTATATTTCTGAGTAAAGAATGAAAAATCACTAAGCAATGAAGTAAAACAGATACATTGATCAATCGATTGCTCGACAGATCTGTATCCAGACTGACAAACAAACAAATAATTAAAAACCTGGCCTATGGTTCCCTTCATTTGGTTAAAAATAACCAAATTGGTTAAAACTTGATTAAAAAATGAGAGGCAAAGCTATGAATCAGACTTACTATTTCTTTCCTAAATTTTAATACGTGCTAAATTTTTTAGATTTCATTTCTGTAACATTTTATAACATGGAGATAGAACTAGGGCCCTGATTCTAGGCAGATCCCTACAGTTATTACATTAATGGTAATAACTTGCATTAAAAGACTTAAAGGTTTTTGCACTGTATCATTTCCTTAGTTCCCTTAATGGATAACAAGACAGAGATGATGACAAAACGTAAGCCTGTACAGATAACTGATTGGCTTCACACTTAATCCTAGTCCCATCGGCGCTCTGGAGCTAACATGTGGCCATGCTGACTTCACTAGTACAGTATTCTTTGTCCTGTGCTCACACCCTACCAACTAGCAGTCCTCCACTTGGATGCTTGCTTGCTTACTACCTTTCCATTGACAACACTGCATGTTTAAAAGTATAAATTCTTGAGAAGATCTCTTATGTTGTTTGATCTGATTGAAATAAATTCTGCTTAAAGTGTATTAAGCTTGGAAAGCATTGAAAAGAGCACTTTTTAAAGGCTTTTTCTAGGGGCGCCTGGCTGGCTCAGTCAGTAGAGCATGCGACTCATGATCTCGGGGTTGTGAGTTCGAGCCCCTTGGTAGGTGTAGAGATTACTTAAAATCTTTTAAAAAAATTTATTTAAGTTTTTTTCTAGGAAAAAAGAGTGAGCTCCTCAGAATTTGAGATTGTTCTCTTTCCAAAAATCTAATTGAAAATTCTCATATTTCTGCACAAAATCTACTAGAGATATAAGGGCCATCCCATTGTTTACGGAAGAGTGTGTCCATCTTCGGTTTTGAGAGTGGATGTTGCTGTGATTGATGGTGCTCAGAGAGGCAGTTGTCATAGTGCCAACCAGGGAGGGAAACCCGGAAGGACAACATCTTAGGAGAATCTCAAGCACTAGACAAAAATCACTTTGTATGGAGAAGGCCATTACTCTGTTTTATACTTGGCTTTCTCCAAGACTGAGAAGAATAAGTTTTGTTGTTTTTATTTATGATTACTCCCTACCCCCACCTGGTTTTCTGATCCATTTGAAATCTAATTTTGCATGTTGCCATTTTGTGACTGGGGAAGTTAAAACAGTAAGGGTTTTTAAATAGTTGAAGACAATAAATGCAATAAGTATTTCTTTTTTCCATCATGTATTAGATCCTCAACAAGTATTTTTTCAGAGCACATAGCATTTATTGAATGTCGTTTGTGTGCCAGGTACCTTGCAAGACACTTGCCTACACATCGGCTTTGTTTTCAGTGGAGAGGTACAATAAATTATGTTAAAGCCTTAAGGTTTTCTTCTTTGTTGTTGTTAGCTAATTATTTTTATTTTATATTGATGATTATTTGTTTTATATGCCATTTAATAGCTAACTACAAGAATTTATGCCTACTTCTAAATATTTACTTTACCTGGCCTTATATATGGAGGGCTGTTCTCAGTGTATCTTAGGAGCTTCTCTGTGTCTCACACGTAGTTGGCATTCAGAAGCCGTCTGCACTTTGTCTGAACTTGGCTTCTGTACACAGACACTCCTGTCATTACATTTTCTGCTAGAAATACAGGAAAGCACAAGATACAGTGGTGATGAGTGAGGCTTTCAGCTACACAGACCTGGGTTCAGCCCTCTCTGCCTTTCCGGAGCCCAGTGACCTCAGATGTGTTGTTCATCCTCTCCACAATACCATCTCCTTGTCTAAAATGTGGAGTTGATGATAATACTTTCCTTAGTGGGGATTGGAGGACTTACAGAGTGTTTGTATAATATGTAGCAAGTTGCCAGGCACATTATAGATGCTTAATAAGTGATAGCTATTACTGTTCTTAATTTTAGAGAAATTAAAGGAAGTCTACATTTAGTTTTGTGTGCTTTGGTTAGTTGTTTCCCGTCCATTTTGTTACCTTGGGAAAGTAAGTATATCTAAATATAAAATTAAACAATTTGAATGAAGTGTTTTACTTACAAGTGTTACAATTGTAGGTGCAGTTAACTTTGAATCATCCATAAGTTCCTTAACTGTATTGCTCTAAGCTTTCTCAAAACAGTAACATCCTCTATCTTTACTGGTTTCATTATGTTTTTGTTTGTTATGACTGAAGAAACTATTTAAACCAGCTCCCTTAGACAACTCCAGAACAGTCGTGTGCCATTTAAAAGTAGAGACAGAGGGTGCCTGGGTGGCTCAGTCGGTTAAGTGTCTGCCTTCAGCTCAGGTCATGATCCCGGGGTCCTGGGATCAAGTCCCACTTCGGGCTCGTTGCTCAGCGAGGAGCCTGCTTCTCCCTCTGTGGGAGGGAGCTCCAAGAGTTCTTGCTCTCTCTAGCTATCTCGTCACTCTCAAATAAATGAATAAAATCTTTGAAAAACATAGAGACAGAGACATCGGCTCTGCTTCGTGCAGAGGGAGTGCCATTCAGCAAGAATTAAGCAAGATGGGCAGCACACTACCTTGCATCTGTGCCATGCTTACAGAAACCCTGCAGCTAGAGTAAGCATTATTATTGTTTTATCAGTGGGGGAAATAAAGTTCATGAAGTTCAGTACCTTGCCTAAGTTCACCCACATAATAAGTGACTAGCCAGCAGTCTGATGTAGATTTGATCTAGATTCTAATCTAGATCATCTGATCCCAGATCCACTATGTTTTCCTAGGTACCACTCACCTTTGTCTTCCACTTCTCTGAATAAGCTCTTCAGAGTGTGTAGCTTCAGTACTTTGTCTTTAAAGCATATACATACTTGATTTCAAATGTAGGGAGATACCAAAACTCGGCCTTTTTTAAATCTTTCACGTTTTTTCCTGTGTCACTGCCCTGCTCTGATGGAGTAAACGCTAGAGAAGGAACAGCAGTACAGATGAGTTTCTCACATTCCACAAAACTTTGCTCTGAAGATCAAAACTAAATTCTTACTCGATCAGATCTCTGCTATTTTGTTTTTAAAACAGCATGTGTTACTCTCTCTTGCCTACTCTAAATTGGGCACAGTTATTCAAAAGGGACTTAATACTTAGCGTATGTAGTTACAAGTTAAAAGTGCTCTCAAAGTACAAGTTTTCATTAATAAATTAGAGATGGTATTATCTGAAGACAGGGGGCTGTTGGGGAGGTAAAACTTTACCTTATACCCATTTAGGTTTTCAGCTGGGATTCTTTTTTTTTATTTTTTTTAAGATTTTATTTATTCATTTGAGAGAGAGAGAGACAGAGAGCACAAGCAGGGGGAGAGGCAGACTCCTGGCTGAGCTGGGAGCCTGACATGGGGCTGGATCCCAGGACCTGGAGATCATGACCTGAGCCGAAGGCAGACGCTTAACCATCTGAGCCACCCAGGCGCCCCTAGCTGGGATTCTTTAACAAAAAAAAAAATAGATTAACAAGAAAAACAGAAGCTTATTAATATATATATCTTTTATTATTATTATATGATTATTACACAATATAATTATAAAATTAACATTGACATGTAAATATAAATGTATGCCTCATTTGAATATGGCAGATACTCAGGAAAATGAGCAACTCTCAAAGATACGGTTTTAGAACTCAGGATTAAATATCATCTTAATAAAGAAAGGGTGGGGAGATGTAGACCTCTTAGAGAGAAGTAAATTATTTTTAGGGAAGACAAATGGGCCCTTAGAAGAATAGATGAGAGGTATGAATCTGTGACAGAGTTTGTCTTGGGGGAATTTATGACAACGGACTTCCTTTTGGAGGATTTATCTTTAAGCAGATAAGGGGAGTTCAGAGAAAGTCTCACTGTGCATTTGTTGTTTTTCAAGTGCCTACAGCTCAGAATAATCAATACACCAAAGTGGCATATTTCAGGGTGGCATGTCCTGAACTCCTACAGCAGTATTTTGCTTCATGAATTTGCATGTCATCCTTGCTCAGGAGCCATGCTAATCCTCTCTGTATCATTCCAGTTCTGGTGTATGTGCTGCCGAAGCGAGCACCCTACAGCGGTATTTCAGGCGGCAAGTTCTGCTGCCCTTCAGAGCTCAGATTCATTTGCCATTATATCCCTAGTGCCAGTGCCTGGCACCGTCTCTGTGTGTCCAGGATATAGTAGATGCTCAGGAAATGTTCATTAACATTCGGTGACTGGATGGATGAAAGGGAGAAATGGGAGAAGGAATGTTAGCTCCTTCATTCATTCTGCAAGGGGAATATTAATGCATTAGTTGGCTTCCCTTATATATTTTTTACAGCTTCCGACAGTTTCAAAAGTTCTGTCCAGTTGTAAGAACAGGATTGTTGCCCTCGTCCCTCCAAATAAATACCTGTCTATATCAGGCTATCCTAGAGACTGGGTTATGCTGACCTTCCAAGCTCCTTAAAACTACTACATGAGAGTAATAATAAGTAATAAACTCCTGTTTGCAATGACTCTTTGCATTCACTATGTTGTCTGATTTTTAAAACAATTGCCTTTTCAAAACAAAGTCCTGTATTAGAGCTCAGATCCTGTAGCTAGGCTTCAAAATTTCAAATCCTGCTCCACTACCTAATCACTATATGATTTGGGCAAATGACTTAACCTTTCCAAGTATTAGTTTTCTCACCTGTAAAACAGGGATAATAACTATACCCTTATAATAAGATCATTGTAGAAATTAAATGAGATAATGTAGGGAAAGTTCTTGGCATAGGGCCTAGGCTCAGAAAGCCTTCAGGGATTGATTATCATCCTAGTGGTCGTAGCAGTCATTCTACATCTACCGTTCGGCACTTCAATTTTCTTCAGAGTAAGGACTGTGTTTTGTTTATCTCGCATCCCCTCCTAACAGCACCTGCCATGGGTTAGGTACTCAACAAATAGCTATTGGATTGAATAAAGTTGGCAGATCTTTTTTTTTTTCAATCAGGAAGTTGTTTTCCACATGACTGAACTGAAGCTCAGAGAGGTTACCTGCAACAGGTTTTGAGCAGCTGCTGTCGATCGGCCGAACAGATTATGTCCTTTGATCATACGGCAACCTTAGAAAAGGTTCAAATGGTGTCCCAGGATTCAAACCTACATCTTGGAATCCCGACCCCAGAAGCGTTTGCTTCTCTTACAAAATATACAAGAATTCTTCCTGGGTCAGTTACTAGTATATAAGCATTATAGTATTTGGGAAAGTACGAGTTAGAAAATGAATTGATTATCTAAGTTTTATTTATTTTTTGGCTCTCAAAGAAAGCCCTACATGGAAACATTATACCATTCTCAGTATACTAGCTTTTTGAATTCTAGAGCAAAAAGGACAACAGGTAACTGAATGTGAATATGACAAAACGAAGGAATAAGAAGAAGAGTCTGAACAGATACAGAAAAGGTAGGATAAGTGAGTGCTTTACAAATGAAAGCAGATGTATGAAATTACAAGCTGTCAGATCAGCAACGGAAATGAAGATGATAAAGTGGTTCCTTACATAGATTATAATTATTCATTTTGCCCAGTCCTGTCTCCTTTCCCCATAATGTTCCTGGGAAGGGGGAGGGGGTGGGAAGCTGTTGCAAAAAATGGTGCTTCCAACAAAAGAAAGGAAAAAAAAAAAAAAATCTAAGAAGCAAGGGCATTTCTGATCACAAACAGTTATTTATTTTGTGATTTGTGTTGTTTCTATAGAATCACAATTGTTTTCCTATGGAATATTTTTCCACTGCTTGTTCTGATTAATGAAGAGGATTCGGTTGCAACAACAGGAAGTTATAACTGTAAAGTTTCTTCACAATCAATGCTGTGGAGGCAGTCAGTGTGGCTTACAAAACAAGCGTCGTTAATGGGCCCGACTGTGACAGCAGTGGCAGATGGATTGCCAAGAAATGAAGTAGTTTACATAGACCTGCCTGAAAAGATGTGTTTAATAATTGCGCCCATAATTAGGTTGATTTGGGAAAAAAAATAAATGACAGTCTAAGGAACACAGTTAGGCTTGTCTGTGAAGATTTTGACATTTTTCCTCCAAGAAATGCTGCATGGATACTCTCCCTAAATTTCTCATTACCTTTAGAAAAATAATTGGAAGAAATTATATTTTTTAAACTTTGAATTGTGTAATATTTATCTATAAAAGAATGAATGTGACATGTAACTTACGAAGCATAATAATTAGGGTAGATATTATTTTATGAGAATTCTAAACTGGTTCTTTCCCATTCATAAGATTTTTGTTACTGATTTCTAAGCAGCAAAACTAGAGACATTTAAACACAGACATATAAATGGCAGTAAATATGCATGCTTCTAAGAGTTTGTTTATATTGCAAACGTACACATCTCTGTCTCCGAGGCTCTCCTCCCAACACCCCCCGAGGATAAGTGCTAGATATTAGAGTGCAGCCAGCAGTACAGTGTGCTCCTTCAAAGGCCATTTGGTAGAGATCCCTTCTCCCTACTGCCTTTTATCAAATTAGTTGAGTTATCGGTTTGCTTTCTCTGAATCTAAGTTGTTATTTTTTTACTCTCAAGTAATGCGAACATCTTAAACAGTATTGCTTCTGAATTCTTTTTCTTTCCCCTCTTAATATTTAGTGATCTCTAGTAACTACCAGACCTGTCTTGGCCTTCTGATGCATTACCCACTAATTGGGGACGTACACTCACTGATTCTCAAGGCTCTGTTCCTTCGAGATCCAAAGGTAAGCTTTCCAAAGAGAATATGCACAATTTTAAGCTGGGTGAAGAATTGGTTTCTCAGCATGACTCCCAAGAATTCCTAATGGAGAATTTGTGTAATGACAGGTGAATTGCCTAAGGACAGAATTTGCCTAGAGACGCAGGCAAAACTCGCATACCGCACTGGCTAGCAGCTTAGCAGGTGAATTAAGTGGACATTGCCATGAGAACCTGGAACACACATCTCTTGTCCCTCGGAAGGTTGTTCTGCCCTCTACCTTCCTCATAACTCAAGGGAGTAGTTCGGCAGTTGCTTCTCCTTATAACCACATTACCCCTCCAAGGGACCAACTTATCCAGGGAGAGCCTCAGGGGCCATTTGAGGACCAAGACATGAGAGCTATAAAAAGGACTGGTTCTGTAAAAGTTTATGACACAATGAAATACTAAATCATTTCATGTGAGGAATATGTATTTTTTATTTTGTGGGTGAAGAGTAACCTAATAAAATAAAGATTTAAACAGACTTTAATGCTGATTTCTCTATTTGAACTTAAAGCAAGCCACCAAAATTTTCTTTACACTTCAGAGAAAAAGTGTGCTCTTTTACAACTAATGTTATATTTCTTGAAAATAAGAACATTTAATGATCTAAAAAAATCTGTGAATCCTTGATGCTTTTGAGCCAAACAAAAATATTGGATGAAGTATAAGAGAGAGAGCTTCAAACACAAGTATGAGAATGCCAGGCATTGGGTGGTAATCCCAGCCTTTGGCTCCTTGGCAGAATTCCCAACAGTCATGTTGGCAGTTGTCGAACTGTCTTTGAGTCAGTCTGTCTGTGGATCCATTGCCAAGCTCTGTCTGATCGACTTGGGCCTCCAAGTTTAATGTAAATTTTAATTCTAAAGGATTTCTGCTTTTCTCTCGGCTGTTGACTTCAACATTTGAGTATGACCTCTATTTATTCTTTGATAGATTTAAAAGATTTTATTTCCTTGTGCCTATACCCATTTTGTACAAAAATACACAATTTTATATCATTTCTCCTACACAATATTTCATTAAGTATCAGAAATATAATCCATCATTTCTCTGATACATAAGATAGCATATTTTTTTTCCTGATAAGGCTTAGGAGTCTGATTATAAGATAAAAAATCCCATATTTTTACGTATTTTGTTTTATAAAAATAACCACAGTATCTATAAAAGGAAAAAAGAATGCAGTTACTCGTCAATGAGGTATATGAGTTTTGGTCTGTGAACTTAAGGTAAGATCTATCAGCTCAGCATTAGGAATTCTTAGAATCATACAGAGTGTGGAAAAAACTGTTAAAATAACTATTTGAATTCTCTACCTATATGATTTATTTGGTTTACTGAAGGGAGAAGTGAATATGTTATCTAAACCTATCGATCTTGGTAATTTCTCCCTGGCTAAATATGGTTGATCTTGCTATGAATCATCCACTCTTCTAGATGTAGGATTCTATATAACAAATCAATCAGTGTTATTAGTAAAATCTGTGATTTTAATAGAGTACTTTTTATCTCAATAAGGTAGTGTACATAATATTAAGTATAATGAAGCCAATTCTATAAGCATTAAAAAATATATTCTCTAAGGATTAAGAGGAAAAAAATAGCATAAGTATCTCTAAAAAAACAGTATTCCCCACTTTTACATTTAGGATCTAACTAAGTAAAAACATGATCAAGATAATGGTCCAAAATACAGGACCTTAAGCTGATATTTCTGAGACAGAAGAGATTGATGATGAGGAGAGAATCACGTTTAAAAGGTTGTTGAGAACAAGTTTATAGAATGATGACATCTATAGGAAAAATAAAGAAAGCTGTATAGTTTAAGGGGCTTTCACATGGCTAACCCAGCAAGGTGATAGGTTTAGTTAAAGAACAAGGAGACTGAATTAGAAATCAGGACACTGGGTCAAATCTTGACTCTGCTAATAACCATCCTTGTGATTTGGGGAAACTCATGCTTGCTGAATCTTGGTCTTCTCTTTTGGGGTTGAATTAAATTGTCTCTAATGACCCGCCCAACCAGAGCTCCTTTGTCCACAAAAAGCTGACTTACAATGATCTAATAAGATCCAGTCCAGTGCTACAAAGGTACAAATGGAACACACACACACACACACATACACACATAGAGCAAGTTTATATATGACATAGAAATCCACACGTGGACAGAGTTTTCAGTGTAGTAGTGTCATTATAAATTCATATAGGAGGCCATTTATACTAAGGAGGAAGAAAAAAAGGGCAAGGAAGATGATGCTAGTACCCCGTCCATATTCTCCAAAAATCCAAACATCAGAGTGCTTAATTTTTTTCTATTTATTATTAACAATGAAACACTTAAAATACTTGAATCATTCCCAATTCAAGTAGATCAGAGTAAGTATATAAACACATGAGTCTCTGTGAAGCGAACTAGTAGAAGGATGAGATTTGAGGCATGAAAGTACATTTTCACATAGCCCAGTACCTTGTGACAGTAGTGTTGAGTGCTGCTGACAGACTCAATAAAATAAAAATAAACAAGGAACTCTGAGCCCTCCAAGTTCATTGCCAGCTTCAGAAAAGCACTTTGTCCTACCGCTTTCCATAAATCCCAGTGGAGATTGCTCAGTTGAGAATAGACTCTGCAACTAGAGCATGAGACACTGGGCTTTAATTGTTTTATATCAGATGTAGGCTTTACTGCGAAAAGATTTCTCATTTGAACAGACTGAAATAATGGGGCTGTAAAATGTAATAATAGGATCGTCCTCCTTCATAGTTTCTAAGCACTTGGATGTGCTTAATTTGGTCCTTACAACAAGCTATGAGGTAGGCAAAGCAGGTTATCTTTCTTCATTCTTTTTCAGTGTAGACAGATTAAGGTTATGTGGCTTTCCCTAGGCCAAAAACTTGTAAGGTTCCAAGCTAGCTAGAATGGCTCCATGACCCTTATATGTATCCATCCCCTCCTAAGATTCCCAGCATACCTTCTACTTCCTTCAGGAAGCCATTCCCAGGCTTAGATAGGACATGTTTTCCCCTTTGAGTCCCCATAAGAACTTTGTATTTTAGCTATTTGCTTATTTATTGCATCAATTATTCCGTATGATCCTGCTCATTTATTAGCATTTAGCTTTGTGTTCTGCAGTAGTCGGTATTAAGAAAATAATGGTAGAATTGAATTCTGACGCAGTTGCTAAGCCTCTTCCAGTACACCACACTGACTCTAATCTAGGTGGATCTCACTCACCTCACGTATTTCTGGAACCCATACCTATATTCCATGGAAGCCATTGCTAATTGTATATTTGTCAGCTGCCATTTTTATCAGGATGGTTAATGAACTCTATAACTTGAACTTAAAGGGCATCTAGTTCCTTAATTTACTATGTGTCAGAATTGTTTGAAAACCTGTTACCACCTTGAAGTATTATGGAACAAAAAAGACATAACGAAGAATCTAGTTAATATACCTCGCTGTGACTTTCAGAATTTCAGAACTGCAAGGAACCTAGAGATCTAATCCAGCTTCTGCTTCTGTAGATGAACAAACTAAGGATCAAGGTTAGAGACTTCTTTAATACAGCTTGTCAGTGGTAGAGCCAGCTATTGAACCCAAGTCTTCCAACTACCTTTCCACACAGGAACTATAGTTTTAAAAATAGTAGAATCCTGGGGGGCGCCTGGGTGGCTCAGTCGTTAAGCGTCTGCCTTCGGCTCAGGTCATGATCCCAGGGTCCTGGAATTGAGTCCCACATCGGGCTCCCTGCTCGGCAGGAAGCCTGCTTCTCCCTCTTCCACTCCCCCTGCTTGTGTTCCTGCTCTCGCTATATCTCTCTCTGTCAAATAAATAAATAAAATCTTTAAAAAAAAAAAAATAGTAGAATCCTATTTACTAGTATCTGTCATAAAAACTATTCAATTTGTAATAGACATTTAATTTGCATCTGTAATAAATAAAACTGCCATGTATATAAGTGAAGTGGACCTAGAACTATTTGAAATTTTCTTAAATGTATGCTATATAAAGAGACCAAATGTCAGATATCTGTTTGTAGCATCCTATACTCTGTTCACCATAAATACGGTTTCTATACTTAGTTCCTCAGACCATGTTCCTAATTCTCATTTTCTTGTCTTTATCATATTAGAACCACTGAGCAGATTTCCAAAAACAATTCACTAAATGAAGTGGAGGGATAGAAGGAGGACAGTCGGAAAAATATGAAGTGATTAAAAAACATTGTTCTAACTAGTTGTTGAAATTCAAAAAAAAAAAAAATTTAAAAACCCAATTAGAAACAAAAGTCATAGAAAATGTGAACATATTGTGTTCCTTAAATAACCAGATGTTCTCTCCTTCCTGAAGGCAGTAGGGCTAGGAATAAAAGGTTTAAAACTATTGTTTTAAGTTAACTGTGAATTTTGCAAATCTGTTTTTACCCTTTAGCAAATAAAATTCTAATACGGAAACATAAGCAAAGTAATTTTCATTTTTCGGTATTCTCTTATTTGTGTTGTGTGTTGAAGTGTTAACCTTATCACAAAGACTTATTACAAATGAAATACAGTACATGGATTAACATTTTAGATTATGTAGTAAGAATTTGACAGCCACTGTTTGTTTTGAAGACTAGAATATTCTCCAAAAAATATTTCTAGTAAGTTTGCAAGCAACCCTTTTAGCAGTGACTGCTATTGTTTATGGAAGAAAATTGCTAGAAATAAGACAATTTAATTTCATAGTCATTCTTGTACACAGAAGCACACTATAAAAAATATAGTGTACAATGTTCTTATGCTTGGCCAATTCTGTTTTGGCTTTTATTTGGAGTTATATTAAATTTTGCCTTTTTAAGTTATAAAAAGTCTAAATATTCAGTTTTCAGATTTTATGCAGGTAATAGATTTTTACTCTTCTAATTCCAAAAAACCCCACTGTAGGTGTTACTTTTTAAAAATATCAAATGGCTTTGGTAAAATGTATCAAATT